GAATCTGGGACTATGTTAGGTTTCCTGGCAAACCAGGAATTTTGTGGATGTGATTAAATTAAAGATCTTGAGATGGGGAGGTTATCTTGGATTAGCCTGGTTAGAACAGTGTAATTATAGAAGCCATAAGAGTAAAGCAGGAGGGTTGGAGTCAGAGAAAGGGAAGAAGATGCAACAGCAGAATCAAAAGTCAGAGACAGGCCCGGCTCAATGGCTCATGCCTGTAATCTCAGCACTTTGGGAGGCCAAGGTGGGCAGATTGCTTGAGCTCAGGAGTTCAAGACCAGCCTGGGCAACATGGCGAAACAAATACAAAATACAAAAAATAACAGAAGTTAGCCAGGTGTGGTGGTGGACACCTGTAGTCCCTCCTACTTGGGAGACTGAGGTGGGAGGATCTCTTGAGCCCCAGGGGGCAGAGGTTGCAGTGAGCTGAGATCATGACACTGCACTCCAGCCTGGGTGACAGAGCCAGACAATGTCTCAAAAAAACAACAAAAACAACAACAACAACAACAACAACAAAAACAAAAAAACACGAAGGAGAGAGAGAGAGAAGAGAGAAAGCAATTTAAAGATTCTATCCTGATGACTTTACATATGGAAAAGGGGCTAGGATCTGGGAGCCAAAGAATGCAAGCAGCCTTCGGAAGCTTGAAAATGCCAGGAAATGAATTCTCCCTTCAAAATCTCCAGAAAAAAACAGCCCCGCTAATATCTTGACTTTAGCTCAGTGAGACTGATTTTGGACTTATAACCTCTGAAACTGTAAGATAAAAAATCTGTTCTGTTTTAAGCCATCAAATTTGTGGAAATTTATTATAGCAGCAATAGGAGTCTGATACAACAGTACACATAAAGTACTACATAAACTACCCAGGAAATTATAAAAACTTAAAGAAATAGTACTTGCTTCTGTTTGCTTTTCCAAATTTTAGGAGCCCAAATCTAGAAAAACTTCAAAAACTCTTCACTTTGCAAAACAAATGAGCCATAAAATGCATTCAATAAAGTCATTATAATACCTGCTATCACATTAGGATTAAAAACAGGTAAGTTTGTCATTATCTACCCAACCAGGACCACCCAAGGATCACTTTCTTGTTCCACTAAATTCTGCAGAGAGGAAAACAATTTTGCATCCAAGGACAGCCAGAAAGACTACTGGTTCACTAACCCCCACAGAGAGTTGCAGAATCCAGGTATAGCATGGGGTCTCTGTGCCTCGCTTGACCAGCATTTTTTAACTAAAAGGAATGTTCTGTCATATTTGATCCACAGGATGGTTCAGATTAAGTAAATCACAAAAAAAAATTGTTAAATTACTTTAAAACAAATACAATATATAATCAAAGAGGGTTTATTCTCCCTCTATGAAATAGCAAACCTGACTTTTACTCCTACAGAAACAGCGTTTATTTCAACTGCCTAGGCAGTTAGCAAACAGTGTTTTTGTTTTGCTGTGAATCCAGCTCTCATTAATTCCTGAGAGCCTATTACATACCCCAGAGAGCAACACTCACTGAAATATGTTTTCTCAGGTCTGATAAGAGCCATCTGCCACACTACACGGCGTTCAGGAAACAGCCGCGGATTTTACTGCGGGATATGAAACTTAAGTCAAAACTCGAGACAGGTGAATACCTTCGGTTTCTAAAGGTGGCCTCAATTCCAATGCAATGCATTCTTTTCCCTACCTTGTAAGAAGTCATGATTTTTATTGTTCATAATGAGAACACTTTTAAGGCAAGAACACAACTCTGAGAAAATCTCTAGCAACATGTTTCATTCCTTCTTCCCTCAAAATCTTATAGTACAAATAGCCACTTTATTCAAGCATGGGCTTTGATCTTTAGAAATTGATCTCACTTCCATCTGAAAATGTCACAAAATTTGAAGAAAAGGAAGCATGGAGTTTTGCAATTTTGAAAAGATTTCAGAATCATTAGACAGGTCCTAATAGTTTCAATAGCCCCCCGCCCCCCCGCACCATCCCATCCTGGGTGAAGAGGGACGGCTTCCTGGGCTCACCCGCCACTGCATCCTGTCCAAGGAGGAAGGACAGCAGAGAGTGGGGCTGTGAAACGAGGCCAAGGAACTCCCAAGGTGGCCGCCTCTCAACCTCGGGGAGCACCAGCTCTCTCTGACACAGCTGCTAACGTGTACATTAAATTGGATGCTATTTATGTATCTAAACAATGACGGATACTGTTTTCTGGCTGATCAACACATATCCTTCCTGAATGAAGAACTCTGAAGGACATTACTGTTTGCCACAGTGACTGTGGATGAAGCAAAAGGTGGTTTGTGGTGCAGAGCGAGCAGGAAGTGACATGTGGAACCCAAACCTGAATTTGATCGGTAGCCCTACTGGGCCTCAGTGTCTCCAGGGCCTCGCCCTTCTATAAAGGTCACACAGGTTGCCACTGGCCAGTTTTTTTGCTTCCTTAAATCTATCAGACTATATCTTACTGAAGGCTTTTTTTTTTTTTTAAACTAAGATAATCTCTTCTTCCCATTTAATTACATGCTGGTCTGAGAAAAGTGCAAACACATCTCATCGTAGACACATATTCTCTGAAGCCCTAACCAGAAAGGTACTGCATTCTAGGAGTAGACTCTGGAAATGGGCTTCCAACACTTGTGACAAAATGCTCCTGTGAGGTAAAGTTGTATTCTATTAAACATATTTAATATCAGTTCTTATTTCTCTAAAGTGTCCCTTCTCACTTTCTTTATTTTAAAAAGAATCACTGGCTTCTTTTCTGAAACTAGTAGATGCATGTCTTTCTAATGTCTCCCATCATGGTCCAGTTCTTGAGCTCCACAAGGTCAGTGTGGCTCCTCTAACCCTCAGCTCACTGTGGCAAGGGACGCCATGTGCTTTTGGCCGCTCAGGTCTCTTCAGAGAAATATGATGTGCAGATGAGGTCAGTGACCTGACACTGCTTTTACCAAGCCTGTTCCTAAAAATATTAGGTTATGTAATCCGTCTACTTGGAATTTCTGTTCTCTGTAGCTTTGGTGCTATTTTGAAGGAGATTACAGAGCTGATGAGAAAAAAAGTTAGACATGGCTGTCGGGCCCAACTTGCTCCAGTCTGTACTGCTTGAGAAAGGAAACCATCTCTCCCAAAACATTTGAACTGTAGCATGTGCTACAGCAGGACCACCCACGAATGCTAAGCGCTACTTGTCGAAACTGTGGAATTTTCTAGAATCCAGACGTAAAATGTTACTGAAAATAGGTATATAAGGATAAACTGGATAATAGTCCCAAGTTAACAACTGTCTATGTCTCTTAATTTTGAATTCAGAATTTGAGACACATCTAGAACAAAGAAACAAACAAAAACATCGGTTCCTGAATATCTTTGCTATATAGGCGGTAAGACAAAATGTATTTTTTAAAAACTAACCATAATATTTGCCAATCATACCAACGCGAAGGCAGTGTTTACAGTTATATCCCAGTGCCTAGAGCCATGTCTGCCACAGCCTCGGTGTTCACTAATTATTTGTTGAATGAATGAACGAATATCCTGGATCTCTGTTTTCAAAAAAGAATGTGATTACCATTCAGTAGTCCACACACAGACAAAGGACTAGTGCCAACATTTAAAGGATATATTTTTTGCTCCCACCACAATACACTTTGATGAAATTTTATAGGGTGAACTAACTCAGTACAACTTAACAAACAATAATTAAGAATCCATGATATGCCAAACACTGCTAAGAGCATAGGTAATATGATGAAGGCCCACAGGGAGGGGGACCAGAGGGTTTATAGCCAGCCATGCTAATTATTAGCTTTACAGACTGGGTTCCCAGTGAGAAACACACAAACCCAGGAACACACAGCTGATCCGCCATCACCCGGAGTGAAGCACAGCAAATCCAGGGCCCCTCTATGGCTTCTTCTCCATGCACATCTATTGTGCCTGCTTTCCACCATGCTTGGTGATATCTTTGTCCCCGCACATCTCCTATTGTCTCCACTGCTTGCTTTCTGTAATGCTTCCTTGCAGTCTATACATTTCCCTGATGTGCATTTGTGTCACCCGCAGCAATCAACCTAGGATGCCCCTGACAATGACATCTGGCTCCTCCCCAGACTCTTCAATCACCTCCCTGAGGAAGACTCCAACATTTCATCCTACGTGGGCAACAGGTGCTGTAGGAAGCGCTGCGATGGCACAGTGCAGCGGGCGGGCGGGCGGGGGTGGGGGGTGGGGGCTCGTACTTCTGCTGGTGCAAACGCTTGTCACAAACACTAACCAGAAGTGAGTTTCTTCACGAACTGTTCTTATTTGGCTTCCCCAGCCACTTGTTGATGATGGTTGGTATATCTGGCTGTGGGTGATCCTGGGTCCCTGGGTGTGAAGGCTGCCTGGGGAAGATGCCATCTTTGCTCTTTTGATCATAACTTTCTGTTACAATTTAGATGTTTGTCCCCTCCAAATCTCATGTTGAAATTTGATCCCTAGTGTTGGAGGTGAGGCCTGGTGGGAGGTGTTTGTGTCTTGGGGGTGGATCCCTCATGGACAGATAAATGCCCTCCCTAGGAAGGAAGCTTGAGTGAGTTCTCATTCTATTGTTCCCATGAGAGTTGGTTGTTCAAAAGAGCCTGGCACTGCCCCTCTTTCCCTGCCTCTCTCTTGCTTCGTCTCTCGCCAAGTGATCCCTGCACATTACCCATTATCCATGAGTGGAGGCAGTCAAAGGCACTCATCAGAAGTAGATATGGCACAGGCTTCTTGTGCAGCCTGCAGCACTATGAGACAAATAAACCTCTTTTCTTGATAAATTACTCAACCTCAGGTATTCCTTTATAGCAGCACTAAGCAGACTAAGACACTTCCCAGGTGCAGAGCCCAGGGTTTCTTCTCTGGTTTTTCTGAAGCTCATGAATGAATGAACCACACTTAACATTAATAGTAACAGCATCATTTTGATAACGCCTAAAGTAATGTGGATGTAAGATGAAACATGCATTACCTGTTGACGTTTTTCAAATTCCAACTTGATCCGGGACTTGATGCAATTACAGGTGTCCTGATATGTTTGCTGAAGAGCAAGTTCCATGAGGTGCTTATGGTAGGCTCCCGCCAGGTTCCCACAGATGAAAATGATCACATTGGCCAGGATCTAAAGAGACAGAAAGAACTGCTCAATAGGGTGACTGTTTCTCACTCATGAATATAATCAAAACGAAGCGCACATTAGCAACTGTCTTCAGAGAGATAACTGCGGGAAGTTAATTTTACTTCTGCTTCCAAAGTAACATTTTTATTTGCTTAACAGAAAACATCAGTCTCCAGAAGAGTTCTGCTTTTTTTTGGATCCATGCCCTTTGGTAGATGACTTTGTAGTCCCTCCCTTGACTTTGGGCTCAGTCTATGAGATCTGCTTTGCTTTGGCTAATGCAATATGGACAGAAATAACCATGAGCCAGATCCAGCCCAGGATTAGGAGACCTTTTGTTTTTCAAGTCACTCTCTTGCACCTCATTAGGAAAAGAACATTTCTGGGTAGCCCACCAGTCCCAGGATGAGAGACACATGGAGCAGAGCTGTCCTAGTCAACCTGCAGTCTATTATTGTGTACCTCTGAGATTTCATGGTTGTTACGCAGCATTATTGCAATACTAGGTGACTAATACAAACTGCCCTCACACCAAAACTGTACTTGCTGAGCCTGGATAACTGATATTCACCCATTATCTTTTGTTTATGTAGAAATATGATAGTCGTTCAAAACATAAAACTCATTATTCTTTTGATGATAAAAACAATTCATGTTCATACAATTTGGAAGAAAAACAAAGATATAAAGAAAAACTAAAAATAATCTGTAATTGTCCTGCCCAAGCAGAACACTCTGCTGTCCATATGGCCTTGTCTACCTACTCCGTTTTCCTCTGTATTCTCAAAATTGGTGGCATACTCTACTTTGTCAAGATCTCTATCTCGTTCTAAAAAGCTTCAGTTCATTCTGAATGTAGTTTTTGTCCTTTGCTTTAACATTTAATATGATATTTTTTAGACCATATAAGTTCTGTAGAAACAAGATTTTAAATGCTTAGATAATATTCAGTTCTGTGACTGGATTGTCCTTTAGATATGTCCATATTGTTTAATACTTATTAATATTCTGTGCATTTGCATTATGCTATAGTGGTCAACCTCATGTATAAAGCTTTGGCTTCATATTTGATCATTTCCTCAGACATAATTACTGAAAAGCCAGAAGTATTTTTAAATTCTTGATACATATTGCAAAATTGCTCTCAGGAAATATTCCATTTACATTCTCATCAACAGTGTATGACAATAGTCTTTTTAGTGTAGCCTACTATTCACATGGAGCAAGCTCTTGTGTGTCCAGGGCAAGACCTACAGACCTGTCTGTGAGTGGACAGACATATCTGGTTAAAATCCAACCTACCCTCCATTTCCATATGACTTGTATTCTCACCAAGAGAGGTCACTAGTGGCTTTAATAACAACTCAGCAGCATCAGTTCCAAATATTCTATGCTCCTCCCTAAGAATCTCCCCATAACACAGACCACTTCATCACATTAATCATCCAACGTGGTGAGCAGGAGTGGCTGGAACCCATCATGGGAAATTTATTCCTAAATCTTCAAGGTTCCCCGTGACAGGACTGAACAGAGAATCATAGCTGTCCTCCCTCTCTGTAGGGGGGTCACTTCTGCTAAGGAGAGCAGGAGGAATCGGTCTAACTGGAGGGCTTGGGAAAAGGATATGAACTCTCTGCATCTTAGCCCATCCTCCCCCATAAGCAGGGTCTTCCTCTCTAAAGTGGGTATCATCTTCATGTTTTGTGTTCTCAGCCAAGCAGTGGACCTAGTGGGCCACTTGCCTCTGTGCTGAGAAGGACTTTGATTTGAGGGCAGATGGCTATAGGGAAAGATGGGTAAACTCAGGGGAAAATCAGCAAGATCATTTATTCCTAACTGCACTCTCCAAATAGGTGTAAGAGTAATAAGGTGACATTTTGTTCTCCATCTACCCAATGCCTTTGTCTATCTCTCAAAGGGTTCTGAATCCAGGAGGAAAACAGTGATATTAATTATTAGCCTCCTCAAGTCCTAGAAAATAAATGTTTGGGATACAGGGGAAAAAAAAGGACAGAGTTAGAATTGGAAGAATGATGTGGTGAGGTTCTCTCTGAATAAATGCAGAAGCACAATAGAAGTGGGGTCCAGAATCATGCACATTAGAAGGGGTCTTCAATGATGTTTCATGTAACTCACTCATTTCAGAGACATTTGGGGCCAGGGAGATCCTAAAGCTCACCCATATTCTCACAGCTAACCCCCATAATGTCCAGTTATGCATCTATGTTTTATCTCCTCCCCATTAGTATGGATAATTAAAATCTTTACTGGAAATTCCTCTGTGTGTGTGATCTGTGTGTGGTATATGCATGTGGTGTGCATACATGCATGTAACTTGTGTGTAATCTGTGTGTGAAATGCATGCTTTGGTGATGTGTGTGCATGTGATATGCAGGTAACGCACGTGCTCTGTGTGGAAGGCATATGTGCTCACAGTCTGTGTGTAAGCAGGTGCAGCAGCACAGCGCTTCAGAGCAATGTGGCTGTCTTCAGTGTTACTTCTACACATTTTCTAGCATCACAGGGCTCTCTTCCTTCCCAAGGCCATACTTTGACACATCACCTCTTCTGAGAATGTCAATCCTGGAGCATGTGGAAAGTCCGGATGACCTTCCTGGCTTCCGATTTGAGGGGACCCTCCCCTAGTTGAACAGGAGTTGATTTCAGCACCATGTCCAATGGTGCATTGTCAGTTAAGTCCTGCCATACTCCGCTTCTGCAAAATGACCATCTGCTTTGCTATAAGTTCTTCAGATCTTGTCATTGCTGGATATGCTTTGAAGAACAGCGCACCAAAGAATGCAGGAAATGAGAGAAGCCAACACAAACCATGTTGCTCAGAATTAGAAAATACTAACTCCTTCCTTACTAGGTGTAGCTGAAATTATAATAATAATGACTCAGTGATTGTTCATGAGAGCTTTTTCTCTTCCTCCTCGGAAAATGCCTTCGAAGCAAACCTGTCAACATTTTAGGGAGTAAATTCCTCCACAATAAAAACCAAGTGGAAGCAACAGAACTGAATGAAGCCATCATCTGTCCCTGGGCTTCCTCTGCAGGACATAGAAATGGGGCACTCTGATATCAACACTGAGGCTCCAATGCGAGTCTCTACCCTCTGGAATGCGAGTACTGTCTTATCCTGTTTTCCTAGAATCCCACTCCCCACTTACTTCCTCTGAATTCTCTTCACTCGGAGGCCCTTGTTGCAACAGAGCTTGCCACAGGCTTTTCTTCCCCTACATTGAGGCAGCCTGTATAGGGTAGTCCCTCTTCTGCGGCAGCAGACTGAATTCAGGGTGCTCTCCACCATGCTGCCTGGCCCTGTGCACAGAGCCAGTGTAGCTGACCAGGCAAATGTTTCTTGTCCATTGAGAGGTTTCCAAACATTTGACAACAGAAGCTCATTCCAAGCAAGGGGAGGCCCCCTGGAGAGCAATAAGGTTTTGCACTTCTTGCTGCCTGTCTTCCAGCCAATGCTCTCCGACTGCCACATTCTACTGGCATATTTGCACAGCCATGGCAGGTAAGGAAAAACCTTCTTGGAGCAATTCATTCTGGATGCTGCATTGCTTCCAACAAATGCAATTTGAACCCCTCCTATCTACAGATAATGGGAAAGAATGCATTTACTGATTTTTAATTTCTATATTCAAAGGAAAACTTTTAAGCAATAAACAACATAGGGCTTTAATGTCAAATAGAATATGATATGTCTTTCCTGATGGAAAACTTATCGAATTATAAGCCTGTTCCTGATACCTGGTTTCATCCCTATATTCTAAGGTTAATTGAATTGACCTTGGCATTTTGATAATGATACACATTTACAAATACAATTGATGTCCTAAATAATTTTTCTTTTAAAATGATGCATGTATGGAATGACTTTATACAAGACCTAGGGCTGCAAGGAAGTGATTAGGTTACAATTTTCTTTTCAAAAATAATATCAAAGCATTTTATTTTCCAGAAGACTGTTAAGCAGAACCTCTGACAAACAATCCTATTTCCACAATGTTGAGTTTGTTTTATAACATCATACCATCTTGATGTCTCCTTTTATCTTCTTGCTTCATTTAGCTACTTTCACATCTGTCAGAAAACAGGAGAGGAATTGGCCTCCAGAGATCTCTTAGAAGGAAATAAATTATTTAAGGTAATAACAGCAGTCAAGGTTTACCCTGAAGATTAAAACCAGGTCTTGAAATCGAGCATGTGCAGGCTCTGGCATCTGTGTAAGTGGAACCATGCCCACACATCCTCACAGAAGGTTGCTGTCCGCTCTGCTCCCCATCTTCTCTTGATGTAAATGTGGGGTGATTTGTCAACACTTTCTCAGAGGATGCAAATTAATGAATCCTGTACTTCTCGGAAGGGTGGTGTCTACTAGCAAATTATTATTATTATTTTGCTCCTTTCATAATGACCATCATAGCCCTTCTAAATATACCTTATATCATTTTACCCTTAAGAGTACAGAGAGCAACACAATCAGGAGAATGGACTTGTTTTATTATTTCATCTTATAGACCAGGCAACAAAAGGTCTAAAAAATTAAGTGACCTGAGGGCTGCCCCCAGGCCGGGAGAGGCTCTCCAGACTGTCCCTGTATATTCTACAGAGCCCCAATTCATATGCACACGGCCAGATTTCTCCACCGCACACGCAACCCCCTATAGGGCATGGGGAAGGCATTTCTGAGTAATTTCTAAAGAGACACATGTTATTTTGTAAGAAACTGATTTTTTTCTTTGTAAAGCATTTGTATTTATGCTGCAAAGTGCTTTCATCATTTAAAGTTATGTTAAGTTCTTGGAGACCATATGCCCATGGAGCCTTTACTGGTTCAGCTCATGCATCTGTGCCTGTTTAGAGGAGAGTGAGGGGTGGGTCAGGCTGCTCTCACCCAGGTTATGAGGCACAAGTGTGACCCATGTGAGGACTATTTCACCTGGGAAGAAAACATTTAAGGGTATCAGGTCATTGTCTTTAAGCATTTG